CGAAAGGAAAAATAGAACTTTAAAAGAGATGATGAATTCTTTACTAATAAGTTCAGGGTTATCTAATAACATGTGGGGGGAAGCCATTCTATCGTCAACTCATATCTTGAATCGAGTTCCTCATAAGAAATTAGATTCTACCCCATATGAATTGTGGAAAGGATACGCTCCTAATTTACAATACCTGAAAGTGTGGGGGTGTCTGGCTAAAGTGGGTTTGCCAGACTTTAAGAAGTCCACAATCGGACCTAAAACTGTTAATGCAGTGTTTATTGGGTATGCTACGAATAGTGCTGCATACAGATTCATGCTTTTACAAGATTATTCTATTTGTGAGTCAAGAGATGTTGTTTTCTTTGAAAATACTTTTCCTTTAAAGGAACCGAGAATAAATATTGAAACACAAATAGAATATATTCCATCAACTTCTTCTAGTAATCCTGCTAGGTCTTTTGAACAAATTGATTTTGAGCCTAGAAGAAGTAAAAGGCAAAGAGTTGAAACCTCTTTTGGACCATACTTTATTACTTCCTTTATTTCTGAGATAAATGATTTAGACTTCATTTCAGATCCTATAGCTCAAATTTTTCTATTAGATGAGGATCCTAAAACTTTTGAGGAAGCTATAAGATCTATCGATGCTAGTTTTTGGAAAAGCGCTGTTAATGATGAACTAGAATCGATAATGTCTAATCATACTTGGGAATTAGTTGACTTGCCTAAGGGATTCAAACCAATCTCCAACAAATGGGTCTTCCGGAAGAAACTAAGGCCAGATGGTTCGATTCAGCGGTACAAGGCAAGGTTAGTCGTCAAAGGGTTCACTCAAAGGTTTGGTTTAGACTACTTTGATACATACTCTCTCGTTACAAAAATCTCAACGATTCGTGCATTATTTACACTAGCCTCTATTCATAAGTTGCAGGTACATCAAATGGATGTTAAGACTGCTTTCTTGAATGGGGATCTAGATGAGGAGATTTACATGGAGCAGCCACTAGGTTTTGAGGCACCTGGTATAGAAGGCAAAGTCTGTAGACTCAAAAAGTCACTCTATGGACTTAAGCAGGCTCCTAAACAGTGGTATGAGAAATTTCATAAAACTATTCTTAGTTTTGGTTTTGTTGTGAATGGTTCGGATGCTTGTGTGTATTCGAAGATGTTTGAAACTGAATGTGTTATCATAAGCCTTTATGTTGACGACATGTTGATTTTCAGTTCTAATATTGAGTCCATTAACAAAGTTAAAAATTTCTTGTCTACTAAGTTTGAGATGACTGATTTGGGAGAAGTAGATGTAATCTTAGGAGTCAAAGTTACCAAAACTGAGAAGGGATTTTCTTTATGTCAAGCACATTATATAGAGAAAGTGCTAAAGAAATTTGACAGTTTTGATGTCGTCCCTGTTCGAACTCCTTATGACCCTAGCATACATCTAGTTAAGAATAAAGGAAGTAGTGTTTCCCAAACTGAATATGCTAAATTAATCGGAAGTTTAATGTTCTTAATGAACTATACTCGGTCTGATATTGCTTATGCTGTGAGTAGACTAAGTAGATATACTCATAATCTGAGTGGTGAGCACTGGATTGCGCTTAAACGCTTACTGAAGTATCTTAAGGGTACTGTGGATTGGAAACTTGAGTTTGTTGGCTTTCCTGCGGTACTGGAAGGATATTGTGATGCCAACTGGGTTTCTGATAATGATGAGGTAAGCTCTACGAGCGGGTATGTTTTTACTTTGGGTGGAGCAGTGATCTCGTGGAAATCATCAAAGCAGACTTGTATTGCTCGTTCTACCATGGAGTCAGAGTTTATAGCTCTTGACCTAGCTGGGCAAGAAGCCGAGTGGCTCAGGAGCTTATTAGCAGATATTCCGTTGTGGGGAAGACCGACTCCTCCAGTTTCATTGTTGTGTGATTCACAAGCTGCGATATGTGTGGCTAAGAACCAAGCTTACAATGGTAAGAAAAGACACATTCGCATAAGACATGAATCAGTTAGACACTTGATAAAGAATGGAGTGCTCTCTTTAGAGTATGTGAAGTCGGAAAGAAACCTAGCAGATCCACTTACCAAAGGGTTAAGTCGGAAGCTGGTCCTAGATTCGTCGAGGGGGATGGGTCTAAATCCCATTGGTTGAGGAATTCATGGTGGATACCCAACTTAGTTATCTAAGTTCCATGTGGTCAAACGAAACCATGGAAAGACTCATAGTGCACATTCCTATTGCCTATCCCTATGATGAATAATGTGCATACCCAGGATGAGCTTAATTGCTCTTAATAAATTCATAGCCCAGGCTTTGGGTGGTCTTAGTGAGAAAGACTTGATGAATTTACCAATTTTGGCTGAATATATATTCTTAATAAGTTCATAACCCAGAGTAAGTGGGTAGGAAATGATGAACTTACCGACAGAAAGGTTGAGTTTGTTAAACTCTTAATAAATTTAAATCCAAGTATTTGGATGGTTCTAGTGAGAAGGACTTATTGAATTTACCGATAAATGAGGTTGAATATTTATTCTTAATGAATTCTTAGCCCAGAGTTTGGGTGGTTCATTTATAATGAACTTGAAAAAAAGTCACCATACCCTTTGTGAGGTTGAGCTATTATAAAAGCTCTTAATTATTTCATATTCCTTTTTAAAGGGTGGTTTATGTTGAGATAAACTTGATGAAATAACCTATGTAAGTGAGAAGGGTTAGCCGCCTTCTATGAAAAATGTTGGGCCATTTTTCTAGCACACTTACTAGAATCCTGAGGTAAGATGGCCAAATATATACTTTTGTATATATATATCTTACACATCGAGGACTCAGGTGGATGAAGGGGTTAGTTATGTGTTATGAGTTTACCCTGATCTTAGAAAGTTCCAGACTAGTTTCACTTATCTAAGAGAAGGATTGCTCATCATCACTATGTACTAGTTCCAGATATGTTCACTAGTGCTTAAGCAACTAATCTCGCTATTGCTCTTCTGGAAAGCTTGTTTTCGAGTTTCAGAAGATTTCTTTCGCATTAGTGGGGGAATGTTGGTAATGCTCAATCCCACATAGTGTTGGAAACACTATTGGGAATGGTATTTAAAGCTTGACATTCCACTTCCTTGTTGAGTGATAGAGAACAAGGGGGCTCTCGCGCACCGCCGCCGCCGTCCGTCCGTCTCGTCTCGGCTCGGCTCGGCACGGCTCGGTTCGGCTCGGCTCGTGGTCGAGGTCGAGGTCGTGGTCGTGGTCGTGGTCGAGGTCGAGGTCGTGGTCGTGGTCGTGGTCGTGGTAATACGTGTCTTCGACACGTCCGCGCGGATACTATCTTTTTAGAGAAAATTCTTGAGGAATTTCTCTTTGAAAGAAACAAATGGAAAATGTGAAAGATATCAACTGATATTTATAGGCTGCTGAGGACTGTTTGAATTTCAAATAATAACAGCTGAATTATTTGTTATCCGAAATTAAACAATTTATTCCTAAATTAAATCAGAAACGTTAAGATGCACCTGGACTGATTTACAGCTTTGTACAGAGGAGACAAGCTGTTAATATCAGGAGTTACAGAAGTTATTTGATTTTATTCCAGGGGTTACATGATATAATTTCGGGAGTTATAACAGCTGAATAATGATACAATGAACCTGGACTATTTCTGAGTCAGGTTCATCTAGACGTTCCAGCTGTTACAAATAAGAGGTTTAATCCTGAAATTTTATGGACGATTTTAACCCTATTTCTAGCCTATAAATAGAGAGCTATATTCAGCTTCTCAATTCACTCTCAAAAACATTCACAATTCACTTACAAAGTGTTTTCTAAAGTTCTCTCTGTGAGTTCTCTCTGAGTGCTTTCCGATCAGAAGTGCAATACCACTAGCAGTCCACTCCGGTTTCGGGTGTACGGAATTCGGAGCTACCGTGTTAACCTCGGGGGACGGTCCGTCTACTGCAGCGATTACACACATCGGGGCGAATTCGTTTCTAAGGCAGTGGTTCTTACCACGACACGGTTTACGAATCTGTTCTTCTTAATTACTATTTATATTTTCAGTCAGTGCTAACGGTGTAGTTTTGCAGTTCATATTTCCAACACTTATATCATAAAACTCATCCTCCATTTAATGTAGGTCATTCTTATATATTTATACTAAGGGAATCCCTTGGGTTTTGTGCCAAAATTCCCTTTGTACCCTAGGTATCATCCCTTTCACATGAAAGGTATGCTAGGGTGGCATGTGGTCCTTACAATGATAATTGGGCAAGGCATTCACTTGCAAACATAAATAGCTGATAGCTCCCATAAAAACATCTTCGTCCTTTTTGTCTTTTGCTGACTATAAATGCTATCCAAAAATGTTGTAGAAATATTGCTCTCAATCAGCTTCGTTAATCCTTCAGATCTTCTTATCTAGAATGCTACAACAATCTTTCCTCCTCCTTTGCTTTCTTTATCTGCACAACACCACAAACACAAGACCTTTCCCTTCAACAACATCATTTTTAGCAATAAAAATATGTTGCAGCAAAACTTTTCACTACATGAAACTATATGAACTAAATGTAACCAACCATGTGTAGAATGCCTATCATCCGGATCACCAGCCCGACTAGCATCGGAGAAATATCAGGCATTGTAATTGTGACATATTGCAATGCACCAACTACACTTCGATAAAGCTAGGGATCTCCTCTATTAGTTCAGTCAAAATCATTTTCAGGTTCGAGAATTTTTTTTCCTTAAATCGCCGCTTGTATTAGGTGGTGGAGGTGGTAATGTAGGGGAAGTCAATTGCAAGGGTGAAGAACTTGCAGCAAGAGGAGTTGCTTGCATTGGCGAGCACTACTGGAGATCCATTTGTATAATGTATAGATGAGGGACATGCATGCTAAAACTTGCAAATAATTATAGTAAAAAAGGATTTATTAGTTCACATACAGGACAAATGATTAGGTAGGTTAGAAATTACTAAATGCAATAACACGTCAATGTTTTTTGAGTGCTTAGCATATAAACAGAAATCAAAATTTTCTCAGATCAGAACTTGACAGCTTTATGGAAATGGACACAAAGGTGGAGAGCAGAGGAATGGGTGGTTCTTTACCTGTTGAGAATGTCCAAGCTCTTGCATCCAAGAACCTGAAGCATATACCATCCAGATATATCAGACCAGAGGTTGAACTCGATCTAGTTTCCATAGACGAATCCCTTCAGGTTCCTGTCATTGACATGTGCAAACTAGATCACCATGATGAACTGAAAAAACTCCATATCGCTTGCAAACACTGGGGTTTCTTCCAGGTTCATAATCTAATCACAACTCTCAATAAACAGTAACTTTTTACATCAATGAACTCAATGGTTCATCTTTATTGTTGTTGAAACAGTTGATCAATCATAGGGTAGCAGATGAAGTGATTGAGAAAATGAAGATTGACACGCAAGAATTCTTCAAATTGCCTTTGGAGGAGAAGACAAAGTGTGCACAGATACCAAATGAGATTGAAGGCTACGGTCAAACCTTGGTAATGTCTAAAGACCAGAAGCTTGATTGGAACGACATGCTCGTCCTTTATCCCCTGCCTGTACCCTCAAGAAATATGAAATTCTGGCCGACCAATCCCCCTTCATTCAGGTAAAAATAAATAATGGATTCTTCAACTTCATAACCATAATAATAGGTTGTCTGTGTCTCTAACTTTAGCTGTTTTCAGGGCAACCTTGGAGAAGTACTCAATGGAGTTGCATAAGCTTGTGATTCAACTCGTGAAGCTTATTGCCCAGAACTTGAAGACTGACCCTGAGACACTTTCGAGCTATTTCGAGGATGTAATACAAGGAATAAGGATGAACTATTATCCGCCGTGTGCGGAGGCAAGCAAGGTTCTTGGTGCATCTCCACACTCTGATGCTAGAGCCTTAACAATACTGCTACAAGTGAATGAGGTGGAAGGATTACAAATCAAGAAAAATGAGAAATGGGTGCCAGTTAAACCCATCCCCGGCGCATTGATCGTCAATATTGGTGACATGATCGAGGTAATATAACAATATTTGAAGCTTCATAGACTTAGACATGATGGATTATATATGATGGTTATAATTATAAATGCAGATTATGAGCAATGGAGAGTATAAAAGCATAGAACATAGAGCTGTGGTTAACCAGGAGAAAGAGCGGCTGTCAATCGCAGCGTTCCACAGCCCGAAAAAGGGTACTCAGATTGGTCCATTGCCAGATATTGTGAAGAAAAACAAAGCACTGTACAAGACTATGCCACTTGAGGAGTTCCTGACACTGAGGCTAAGTAGGAAAGTTAATGGGAAACTTCTGTTGGATCAAGTGAAGCTCTAGTTAAAACTCTTTGTCCATGTTAAATCTAAACTGGTACAAAGAAAGAATTTGGTATAAAAATAAATGCATTAATTTGTTCTTCCTATGAGTGTGTGGTCCGTCCTTGTTATCATATGACATCAATGCAGGGTCCATTATAATTTTCCAAATATTTGATCCCAAGATGAGTCAAAAAACTTAGAAAATAATAATAATGAAAACGTATATTATATAAAAAATTCATTTAAAAGGCCAAAACATTTTTCATGTTATGCATTTTATAAATTAGAAATGATGAACAGCAACTAAAGATGCTTTAAGAAATTACCTAACCCATTAACGTGAATATGCTTACATAGCATATACACAGAAGTCGTAATTTTCTCAGATAAGAACTTTGAGAGAGTTTTACAACAATCGAAACAAAGGTGCAGGGCACAGTTCAACAAGCTTGCATCCAAGAACCCAATGAACAAGGATAGACCGAGAGAGGGGAACACAGTCACCCCTTGAACATATACTACTTTATAATCACCTTAATTTAATCAAAAAATAAAATAAAATATTATGTTCGTCCTCAAATGAACGTTCACTTTTAAAGCATCTAATATCTTTCTCTTTTCCCGACAAAAAATTTATCAGAAATCTCCAACAATGTATCCGGGCGATTCATTAATGAAAATACCATAACAAAGAGATTTCTCACATAAAATCTTGATGATAATATCGAGACAAATCGTTCTGATGCATTTGGGGATGAGAGGCTGTTGGTGAATAGGCCCAACCCCTTGGAGCATTCTGCAATCCATGATCCCGTGAAACTGTTGTCTCTCGTACATCACCCTCAATATTTAAACCTTCAAGCTTCAGGACAATAATAATGGGGTGTCTGTAACTTGAGCTGTTTTCAGGGCAACCTTGGAGAACCACTCAATGAAGTTGCGTAAGGTTGTGATTCAACTCGTGGAGCTGATTGCCAAGAACCTGAAGACTGACCCCGAGACGCTTTTCGAGGATGTAACACAAGGAATAAGAATGAACTATTATCGCAAGCAAGGTTTGAAGATATTCATTTTTTTTCATTTTAATGTTATTATTATTATTATTATTATAATTATTATAATTATAATAATAATAATTATTATTATTATTAATATATATTATTTATTAATATTACAAAACCCGGAGCCCAATAATCAGGCCCATATTACAAGCCCAAACCAGATGGAAACCTTAAAACATTTAGGGTTTCAGTTAGGGTTTTCTAACCCTAGCCCCGTGCGCCGCCGCCTCAATGGTTTCCAGCCGCCTCAGAAGTCTTCAGCCACCGCCGTTGGTTCCAGAAGGCCACATGTCCGCTGCCTACACTCCACCAATGCCATGAAGCCACCCCGAAGAAGCCTCCAGAAGCTCTGCTGCCACAACCCCGACCGTCCACGTCGCCTCTATGGTGAGTCACCAGCATAGCTTTGGTTACTCACCGAATTTTTCACCCTTCAGACCGGTCCGATGGCCACACCGGTGATGGCTATAAAGCCATCACCCCACCTGCGAACAAAAAAAAAGGACAGAGACGGAGAGAGAGACAGAAACAGAGAACAAAGAAACAAAAACAAAGAACAAATAACCCACAACCAGCAGTCAACAACAACGCAGCAACAAAAAAAAAAGGAGAGAAGAGAGGAAAGAAACTTACTCTGTCATCGGAGAACCCCAACCGTCGCCGGATACAACGAAAACCGAAGGTACTTTTGTAGATTTGCTCCGATTGGGAGCTTTTTAAGGAAAAAGAACACCGGAAACGGTTTTAGATCGTCCCGATCTATATTTTGGTGTTTTTTTTTGTAATTTCTGGCCACCATTAACGGTGGTCGGAGCCCGGCAACGGTGGCTGACCGGGACGGCTTTCTCTCAGTTTAGAGAGAAGCCAGAGAACTCTGCTCTCTCTCTGTTAGAGAGAGAACAGAAATGAAGAAATGAGAAGCTGGCCCGTAGGGCCAGCCGGTTTCGGGTATTAATACCCTCTCCCAAACGACGTCGTTTTGGGGAGGGTATTTCTGTAATTTCATAAAGGGTAAACCCCGTCCGAAGCCATTCCAACTTGTAATTTTTACATTTTAGTCACTAAATCAAGTTTATAATCCTTTTAATTCGGTTCTTTAATTTTATTTTTATTTGTTTTAGTCCTTTATATTAAAATAATATATATAGGATAAATAACAGATTTAGTCCTATAATTTTAATAATTAATATTTTAATCTGAATAATATGTTTTAATTTATTTTAATCTAATATCCAAATTTTATATAGTTTTATTTTAGTCATTAAATTAATAAAATAAAAAATAGTATGTTTAATCCCTATAATTTTGATTAATTATAAATTAGATTTTTAATCTTAATTTTATTATATTTTAGTCACTAATTTTAAATGTTTTCATTTATTTTACTGCTTTTAAATATATCGTTCTAATTGTATTTTTATTGTTTTATTTGTTTATATATTTAAATATTTTTATTATTATATAGTTATAAATATATATAATACATAATTATTTATATATATTTTTAATAAGTTATTTTAATATTTATTTTTCAATATCGAAGAAAATGACAGTCTTAATACAACTGGATGTCCTATTCTGGTATTTTAAAATTAAAAATTATAAAAAATATTATTTAATTTAAATTAATATTTATCAATATCAAAGAAAAGAGCTGTCTTAAGGCACCTAGAAGTCCTTTTCCGATATTTTTAAATATTTTTTTATATAATTTTGAAATAATAGGATTATAAATTAAATATATTTTGAATTTTTAAATTTTAATAATAGAGACAATTTATAATTAAAAAGTACCAATTTTGGGCGTTGTAGGGGTGCTAATCCTTCCCTAAACGTAACCGACCACGAATCCCTTTTTATTATTAAAAAGAACGAATTTTTGGTTATAAACGCATATCAGTTTATTTTTTTATTGATGTTTTCTTAAAACTCTTTTAAAAAAATAATTTTTAGGTATTCGACCTACCTGACCCAAAAGGCCGATGGCGACTCTCAAATTATTTTCAAAACCATTTATTCATATCAATCTTCCCGCCAAATAAATATTTCGTGCCCGGACAAAAACCGGTTACGACAGCTTGGCGACTCTGCTGGGGACCCGGTCAAACTTTTAAAATCAATTATAAATTGTCTCTATTAATTATAAATTAAAATTTATATATTTAATTTATGATTTTTCCTGTTCAAATTTTTTCATATATATTTATTATTTTCATAGTATGTATATATTTTCTTATTAATATTTCATTTTTATTTGCAAGTATTTTATTACATTATTTATTTTTTTGTCAGAGGTTTGAACATTTATCCTCACACACAATACTTGCATTGCATAACATAAAACTCTATAATTGAGTTTGTCCCTTTTAAGTGGGAGTGAAAGCGTTGTCTTCGTGAGAATTTATTCTCCGTGTCAGACCTAGCAAGTAACTTTCGGGGTTCATATACTCTACGTCTTCGTGAGAATTTATTCTCCGTGTCAGGCATAGAAAAATGTATCCCCTCGAATTGAACTCGATCCATTTTAGTCTGTAATGGACTATGATTGAGGGTTAGCAACCCAAGGGGGCACTAACAAGGACAATTCGGGTACCTTTATTCTTAGATCTGAAACATTACATATAATAAACCCTAGAAACTCTTCCGATCTAAAGTCATGCCGAAATTTTGTCCAAAATAGGTGTACACACAGGAGAAATGAATTATAACTTTCCTGTTAATTTATTTATTTTCTTTACTGATTAAATTACATGTAAATTTAAATTATTTAAATTATGAAAAAGCATGTTTAAATAAAATATTTAGGTAAATGTTATTATTAAATTTCTTTATTATGTAAACTAATTCATTTCTTTTTGTGTGTTCTTTATCTTTTCTGTTTGCATAGCATCATACAGGATAAAAAGGAATTGATCCTCGTGTTAATTGTCTCATTGGAAAGCCTTCATCCATGGATAAAAAGTGTTCAAATCAAGTAATTCTAAACTCAGAAGTAAGACAGTGGGCTGAGGACTTACAAAGACAAGAAGGAGACAGTCTGCAGGATGATTATGTATCCGACTTGGCCAGTTATGCTCCAGTTTCGCTAAAAAGAAATGATATGCAAGATTTGCGAAGTATTTGGGAAAGTTGGGATTCAAACAAAAAATTGCAGTTTTATCAGACTTACGGAGACATCCCATATTTGTTATATGTCGAAGTTGATGATGAATTACTCAGAGCCCTAATTCAATTCTGGAATCCAGGGTACAATTGCTTCACTCTCAATAAAGAGGACTTGGTCCCTACTATTGAAGAATACACAACTTTGTTACATATCGAAGGTGCTTTGGAGAATCGAATCTATTCAAAGTCAATTAAAACTCAACCCTTTCGAGTTAAATTAGCAAAGATTGCCGGGTTACGAGAAGAATGGGTGGCATCCCGTACAAAACAAAAAGGCGAAAGCGAAGGCATTGCTTGGACCAACATTAAAGAACTTATTCAGAGTCATCCAGATACTATAGTACGATTCGATCTATTTGCTCTGGGTATGTATGGTATGGTCATCTTCCCAAAAGTATTGGGATATGTTGAAGTTGCAGTGGTAGATTTGTTTGAACAGCTATCGAAAAAGATTAATCCTGCTTCTGCAATTCTAGCAGAGACCTTCAGATCGTTAAATGCTTGTAGAAAGCTAGGAGGTGGACGATTCTCAGGGTGTACTCAGTTGTTATATGTTTGGATCCGTAGTCATTTCTGGAGGACAGAAAAGGTTTCATACCGACGCTTTAATACGGATTATTCACCATTAAAAGAATTTCTGGAGCAAGAATGGCCGAAAGAAATTAAGAAAGATATGTGGATTAATGCCTTTCGAAATCTGCAAAGTAATGACGTTGTTTGGCGAGCCCCGTGGCAAATCCAAAGGGAATTCTTTTACAAATGTGGTGATTACAATTGGATAATGCTGCTCGGA